GGGGGGGTGGAAACGGGGGGGGCGGGCGGGGAAAAGCCCTTGAAGAGGGAGCGTGACGTCACATCCCCTTGACCCTCCAATCACCTCGGCCTCCCATTTGATTGGAAGGCGGCAAAGGCTTTAATCTCCCGACTAATTCAGCTGCTCGGGAAGCGCCCGGGCTCCGCCAGAGAAGGCGAGGCTGCGGCCGGGCGCAGAGGAGCGGCAGGGGCGGCAGGAGCAGCAGCAGGAGGCCGAGGAGAGCCCGCCGGGCCAGGGAAGGCAGCCAGCCAGACAGCCAGGCAGGCAGGAGGGAGACGGGCCGGCGGCGGCGGAGAGACAGGCTCCGGGTCTTCTCCCTCCCGCCCCTCCCCGGGACACAAAAAGCCCCCCCCCCAAAAGAGAACAAGCGCCGCACAAAACCACGGATTTATTTCTGCTGGGTCGCAGCCGGTGGACGCCTCGGAGTTGCCCTTCCCCGAATTTGGGAAAGGCGAAAAAAAAGGAAAAGCCAAGACTTTGCGGGGGGGGGGCACAAAAAAGGCTTTGGAGGGAGCGTCTCCCGCGGTTCTCCTGCCTCTGCGGCCGCCGCTGCTTCCCCCGAGTTTGCAAAGGGGCGTCTCCGCGGGGGGATCGCCCGCCCGCCCTCCCTCCTTTCCCTCTCATCCCCCCCCCGTGCCCGAAGTCGCGCGTGGCAGCCGCAGAAGCCCCGTTTCGGTTCCTGAGCAGCAGCAGCAACAGCGGCGGCAGCAGCGGCGCTGTCCCCCCCCGCGAGTTTTCATGCCAGGCTTTGGGTCATGATTACAGCCCCCGCGCTTTCTGCCCTAAGAAGTAGTCCGCGCGGAGGCGGAGGAGGAGGCGGAGGCGGAGGAGGCGCGGCAGAGCTCGGAGGAGGCGCGGAGCTCCCGTGGCAAAGCGGAGTCGCTGGGATCCTTCCTGGCGGCGGCGGCGGCGGCATCGGCGGCAAAGCTTTCCTCCACGCCATCCCCCCGTCGGACCCCCTGCGCCAGGCCAACCGCCTGCCCATCAGAGTCCTGAAAATGCTCACCGCCCGGACCGGACACATTTTGCACCCCGAGTATCTCCAGCCGCTGCCTTCCACGCCGGTCAGCCCCATCGAGGTAAGCGGGGGGGGGGGGCAGAGCGGCGGCGGCGGAGGGCGAGGGAGGGACCCTTTGTAGGGTGCTGGCTTCGTTTCAACCACTCTCTCCCCAGCCCCCCCAGCCCCCCCCCCAGGACCCCGTCCAGCCTTTGGACAATCGCCGGGCAGCGCGATTTTGGGGCAGGCTGGCTGGCTGGGCAGGGGAAGGTCTTTGGGGGGGGGGCGCCGTCTCCAGGAGGGTCTCCCACCGCCCCCTTAAAGCTCGGTGGAGCAGGAGGGAGAGGCGGCCGGCCCGGCTTTTCCATTTCGCAAGCCTCGGCGCCCGCACTCTCCCCTCCAGAAGGGCTGCTCCGGCGGAATTTGCACCTGGAATCGGTCAGGCTCGGTCCTTGCCCCCCCCCCCGTTCCCTTGCCCCCCCCTTCCCTTGCCCCCCGCCGCTTGTTGATTCTGGCAGCAGATCTGCCACCCGAGGGGCGCTGATCTGAAACTGAGCAGCCCCGGCCGCCTCCAAGGGCGGCTTTGGGAAACCTGGCCTCTCTTGGGGGGAGGGTGTGTGTGTGTGTGTGTTCGCGTGTATGTTTGTGTACGTGTTTGTGTGTGTGAGCGAAACCTCCTCGGGCACGACGAGGGTCCCGGGGGCGGGGGGAGGCAGGGCCAGCTAAACAGAGCGGGTCCTGGGGCGGCGGCGGCGGGCGCGGGAAGGCTGTCGTCCCAACGGGGAGGATCCACCCGGGGCAGCGCAGGGCGCTGGGGCTCCGCTTCCCTTGCGGGGCAGAGGAGGGGGCGGTCGGGGCCGGGGCGGAGGGGGGGGGGCTGTTTGGAGGGCAGCTCCGCTCGGGGCGCCTCCCTGCCCGCACTCAGGGCTCCGTCTCTTCTCTCCCCCTCCTGCCCTCCCCTCCCCTCCCCGGCCTTCTGCAGCTGGACGCCAAGAAGAGCCCGCTGGCCCTCCTGGCTCAGACCTGCTCCCAGATCGGCAAGCCGGACCCCTCGCCCTCCTCCAAGCTCTCCAGCGTCACCTCCGGCGGCGGCGGCGACAAGGAGGCGGCCAAAGCGGCGCCCTTGAAGCTCAGCGACATCGGCGCCGAGGACAAGTCCAGCTTCAAGCCCTACGCCAAGCCCGGCGCGGACAAGAAGGACGCCTCGGCCGGTGGAGGGGCCTCCTCCTCCTCCTCCTCCTCCTCCGGGGGGAGCTCGGGCGGCGGCAGCGGCGGCAGCGGCGAGAAGTCGGGCTTCCGAGTGCCGAGCGCCACCTGCCCGCCGTTCACGCCCAGGACAGGCAGCCCCAGCTCCAGCGCCTCGGCCTGCTCGCCCGGCCTGCTGCCCGGCGGAGAGAGCAAGGGCGGCGGCGAGGCCGAGAAGAAGGAGGCGGCGGAGGGCGGCAAGGGCGCTTCCGACGGCTCCGGCCGCCTGGCTGCCGTCGGCGGGGTCGGGGCCCTCTCGGCGGCCGAGCTGAGCCAGGCCCACGAGGGCGCCAAGGGGCTGCTGGCCGGCGTCGCTTCGGCCGTCTCCTGCTCGACGGCCGACTCTCCCTGCAGCGCCGTCCCGTCCTCGGTGGCCGCCGCCGCCGCCGCCGCCGCTTCGGTGCTGGGCTCGGCCGGCCTGGTGGCGCCCGTCTCCCCCTACAAGCCGGGCCAGACCGTCTTCCCGCTCCCGCCGGCCGGCATGAGCTACCCGGGCTCGCTGGCCGGCGCCTACGCGGGCTACCCGCCGCAGTTCCTGCAGCCGGGCGTGGCGCTGGACCCCGGCAAGGCCGGCGGCGCGGGGGGCGGCGGGGGCGGCAAGGCGGCGGGCTCCAGCCCCCTGGCCGGCGCCTCGCCCCCGTCGGTCATGACGGCCAGCCTGTGCCGCGACCCCTACTGCCTCAGCTACCACTGCGCCACCAGCCACCTGGCCGCCGCCTCCCCCTGCGCCCACGAGCAGGCGCTGAAGGCCGGGGGGTACCCGCTGGTCTACTCGGCGCCGCCGCTGCCCGCCGGGCCGCCCTCGCTGGCCGGCCACCCGCTCTACCCCTACGGCTTCCTGCTGCCCAACGACCCCCAGCCGCACAGCTGCAACTGGGTCTCGGCCAACGGGCCCTGCGACAAGCGCTTCGCCACCTCGGAGGAGCTGCTCAGCCACCTGCGGACTCACACGGCCTTCCCCGGCCCGGCCGAGAAACTGCTCGCCGGCTACCCCAGCTCCAGCTCGCTGGCCGCCGCCGCCGCCGCCGCCGCCATGGCCTGCCACATGCACGTGCCCAGCTCGGCGGCGGCGGCCGGAGGGCCGGGCAGCCCCGGCGCGCTGGCCTTGCGCAGCCCGCACCACGCCTTCGGACTCGGCAGCCGCTACCACCCCTACTCCAAGAGCCCCCTGCCCACCCCCGGAGCCCCCGTCCCGGTCCCGGCCGCCACTGGACCCTATTACTCCCCTTACGCACTCTATGGGCAGAGACTGACGACAGCCTCGGCGCTGGGATACCAGTGAGTTGTTTTTGCCACCCCGCGGGGGGAGAGAGACGCCGGAGGAGGTTGGGGGTTGCTTCTTTTTTTTTTTCTTGGTGGGGCGGGGGGCGTCGGGGGCAGGGGCGATTTGAAACCAGGCTTTCGGGGGCCGGGAGAGAGAGAGAGAGAGAGAGAGAGAAGGAAAGAAAGACGGCCCAGCGTCCCTTGGAAAAGTTTTCTTAAGAATCCATTGACCAGACAAATGGCAAAAATCGGACGTTTTTTTTAAAATAAATATATATATAAAGATAGTGTTCATCTTGAGGACTGGATCCATGGGCACTGTATTTATTTATGTTAGCTTCAAGCGGGACGATGAATCCGTAAAAAAAAGAGAGAGAGAGAGAGAGAAAGGAAAAAAGTGCATTACCTAATTTCAGCTTTGATAGGCTTCAAGGAGAGCAAAAAAAACAAAACGAAGTGGAAACACCCGTTGTAGAATATAAATCAATAAAAAGAAAACGAGAAATAGAGGTCTCCTCCTGAATGTTACTTTAAAATTGCTCCACGATTGTACTGTTATTGTACCTTCTTATTTAAGGGCGGCCGGGCGCGGCAAACCCCTCGGTGCATGTCTCTCTTTTCCCAAGAACCGCGCGGCTTCCCTGCCAAATTTGTCTATTCCGGTTTCAAATGGCAGCGATTTTTTTCCAAGAAGCATCCCGTGGCAAGGGAGATAATTGGCCTTTTTCCTGTGTGTATCCCGACAGAAAGGAAACCCAACCGCCACTCTTCTCCCCCCCCCAAAAAAACCCCCACCTCCGTTTGCCTTATTTTTACTCTTCAAAAGGAACCCTTGGGCGCTATTTTCATTTTTAAAGTCCACCCGGTCGCTAGGGCAGGAACAAGGGGGACGTCATGTATTTAAAATCATAGACAATGTATCGCTTTCAAAGATTAAAATCCTGTATATTTGATGTATTAAAAAGAAAAAAGAGAGGTTTACTTTTCTTTTGAAATAACCTTTTGGGGATCTGTTACCAACGCACTTAATTACCGGGCGGATGAAAGTAAAGAAAGAGAAAGAAGACAAGTGAAGGTTGATTATACTCCGGTTTAATTAGTTAGTACCCGATACTTTCCCTTTTCTCGCAGCCGCAGCGTTATGGAGCAGAACTGGCAATTTAAACGAAAAAACAAGAGCCGAGCCGGCTTCTGTTTCAGGGGGGCAAAAAGGCCTTTGGCTTGCCGGGGTTTGCCCACCGGAGGCGCGGAAAAGAACAGGCCGAACGTGTCTTTTTCCAAGCAGGGAAGATCGTGGCGTCCCCTCCGTGTTTGTTTGTTTATTCATTTATTTTTACACGCGGCGAATGAACAACAACTCCTGCTTCCATTTAGGGAAAACCTGGGTCACGATCCCGGCAGATTCCGGAAGGAATCGGGCTGGCGGGGAGAGATCTCCACCGCTCGTTCTTGGCTAGGACCGACCGTGGCGCGGATGGTCTGGGGGTTTTCCGTCTCCAAGGGGCGGCAGACGAAGAGAGGGACGAGTGCCGTGGAGCAGTTTCCCCCCCCC